TCCAAGTGGGATTTTGCCTGTGTGACTCATCAGGCAAAAGGTTCTCTAGAAGCTCCCTGAGGTTGCTCGCGTGTTGTACTTGGCAGTGCGCCTGCGCACACAGCCCGCATGCATTCTGTAGGCGCTCTTCCTTTAGGTATTTCCGCAGACACAAAATGAGGTCAGAGAAACTGCGATAGCAGACAGCCTCGTGGCTTTGAAGGACCGCGGGCTTCGGGAGGTATTTGAGACTGCTCCATATGACACTTCAGAGCACGGTCCCAATGTCTTTCTCTGGAAAGGGGAGGATGGTTTTTCTTCACTTTTCCTACATCTTTGGCTCCTTGAATTAGTCTATAAAATAACAAGTGGGTGTGAGCGCGGCTTCCTGGGATAGCATCGTGAGGCTAATGTTCAAAGCAGGCAAAATTATATCAAACCATTCCCTTGAGTTGATTTTGTGATCCATTAACAGAGTCAAGGACAGAAAAGGCTACAAGGACCTGGAAACGCAGGTTTCCAGTTGCTAGGAGACCCAGCAACGAGCGCGTGCAAGGGAGGTTTTTTCCCCAAGAAGCATTGTCTTTACAGTCAGAGGTGACCCCAAAGGTATAGTTCGCCAAAATTCAGATGGGCCAGGGCTTGGTTATCACTTGTGTTAATCTCACCACCCCTAAAGAGACCGCGGATAATAGCGTGACGCCGGTAACCACGATGGGCCAGAAACACTCAGAGTAATTAACTACAAATTCCGTTTAAATATTCTTGTAGGAAAGACAGCTGCGATGATTGCGGATACTGCTTCCAAGACGTGTGCAGCCGGCGCTGTAACAATCCCTCCACGTGGCAGAAAGCCAGGACACTGAGCAGTGCTGCTGCAAGATGGGGTTTGCGGAGTAGCTCCAGCTCCCCCAACTGGTAGAAGGAGGAAATGATCCCGTCTCGGTGATGGGCAGGCAGTCCACAGCCACTTCCTCAGGGAAGTCTTTTTGGAAACTCTGGCAAAGACTTCTGCCCTTTGGGGGTGGGGGTCGGGGGTGGAATGCTGTCAAGCTTGGCCAATTGCCAGGACACCATAGGCGACGTCAGGGAAGCTGACTGCTGAGGAGTGGCGCTAGTGGGTCTCATTGCACAAAGAGGAAACTGAGTCACTAGACAGTGTTCCCAATGACGGAAGCACACAAGTAATTCTCTCCGGAGTTGGCCATGCGACCCTGAGACCCTAGTTATATGCCCTTGACATCTTTACAGGAATCATTAACACTGACATAGGAAAGGTAGCCAACACAACAATATGACATGCGATGCGGCAAACGTAAGTAAAATAACGAAGGAGAAAGGGCTAGTAGATCACCTTATCCTCAATTTCTCTGATAATAAGCCATCCTAATTCACCGGTCAGCAAGATCCAAAGGCTGGCCTCTGTAGCTATGTTTTCAATGCCTTGGCTTCTCATTTCTTTCTCCAGGGTTTCATTTGATAAGTCATTGTGGCTCGGTGGCATCAAATCATGTTTAAATGCCATAAGGGACCAAGAGACCCTTATTTGTGTTCCAGAGAAGAGAATCCAAGCGCGCGGGCGAGTTGGTCCGTCCACAATCATGGAAACAGCAAGCGGGTGTTGGGATTTTCGGCCTCTGCCACTGTCCCCGAGAGCACAGAGGGTCTTGCAGGTCATTTGCCACGACATCTCCGACTTGTCGGCAGGCTCTTCATCGCATTCCAAGAACAGCAGACACGGGATTGGGCATGTCACACAACACTAATAAAAATCCCATCTTACAGGATGGAGCGTTTTCATTTCTGGGAGCTGAAGAGACAGTGTGAAATATGGCCACTGTATAATTTGGTCTCCTGAGAACTGGAGAGAAAGTGGATTGAGGCAGTGGTCTGTGTAATTTAGGCAGGTCTCAAACCTCTTGGAATGATTTTGATGGGCAGTTTAATTAAACGGTGGTTTCCTGGTTTTGTTAGTACCAATAATCATCTGAACGTTTTAAACTGTGCTGCTTGGATAAATTAGTCAAAGATCAATGTTTAGCAGAACGATCTAGATGATTTTCTCAATTTGATATATTACTTTATGAAAACATGTTTTGTGCTCAAATTATTCCACAGAATTTGGGTTAATGCACTTGCACAGTTAGGGGACAGGACTGACATATGGGGGGGGTGAGGGAGGATGGAAATATAACCCCTTTCTTCAGGTTACAATATAAAATATCAATACTATTTAAAATATATTTTATATTTTTACATATGCTAATAATGTTGAATTTACAAATGCATTTACATTTTAATTTTTGATCATGGTCCTTGTAGCCTTCAATGTTCAGGGCCAATGCTGGAGGTTTGGACCAAGTCAGAAGGCTTTGAAAACAGAGCTTCTTCCATAGGGCAGAGATGACATCCAGTCCCCTGATGGAGGGAGATCAACAGGCTTACAGACCCACAAAGAAGGAGGCAAAGTTAAAGAGAAGTAAAAGCAAAGCAAGCAGTACATAAATCTCTGCGACAAACTCTTGTGTAGAGAAGATGGAAAAGAGACAGGGATTTTTGCTTCTACTTAAATCCACTGCAATGTTCGTTTCTAGATGGATGAGCATTTTCTCTGGTTTTGTTCATGGCTATATCTCCAGGGCCTTGAATCGTGTCAAAGCCCCTGATCATCGTTCAAGGCACCACAGCTACAATGTGAAGCAGGCTCAAAAAGTTTCTCCCTAAGAACTCCAATATGTTTCAACCACAGCAGCGAGTCTCCCCTCTCGTCCATCATAATCTGTAGTTGTCAGTCTTCTAGGAATATTACGTCCCAGGCAGGCACCATTATTGGAGTCAATAAACTGAACAGGAATCCAGAAAGAACAGACAGGACAAAGGAATCCTAAAACAAACAAGCAAGCAAACAAACAAACAGAGCACCCTAAACAAAACGCCACACCCCAGGTGAGGAACGGGGGAATTTACTAGAAGAAAAGAGGATTGACAACAGACTGAAGCTATACACAAATGTTACAAAGACTTTTATGAAAGATGAGTCTGGACTAAAGGTATTATTGTAATTAGACCATATGGAAAGAAATTATGGATAGATACAATTTGGCCCAACATACCAAAAACACTCAAATTTTCCAGTAATTGAGTTGATGGCTTTATGGTTTAATATCAGGAAACACGTGTTTCCCCATACACATTCATGATACTCATTCCAATTGCATGCTGATCAAATACTATCATTAACAAAATGAACATCCCATGCATTCATTTTCACTCATTTATCCGTAATTTTTTTTTTTACCAGAATGAATTTGTACATGTTTTGAAGCTTTAAGAAGTGCCTCCTTGCAGACTTCAACCTTGCTAGTCTACATGGAGACATCCCAGGTGGTCAAGTGGAGGGAGGGGCAGTGGAAAGAGGAAGCCCGGCATGAGATGGAATGACACCTGGCTGCAATTACGGGCTTGACCTAAGAGTAACAGAGAGCATGGCCCAGGATTGCGTGGTCTTTCGTTCTGTTGCACATAAGGATGTAAGAGTCGGAGCTGACTCGACAGATGCTAACAACAACAACAACAACAATCAAAGGCTAGGTGAATCTCTCTTCTCTTCATTCAGAAGTTTCCTGACTTGCCTAGCCACCCTGTTAAGGACTTAGGTATCACAGAAGCAGCAGTATGGAATAACTATGTCCAAGTTTTATTGTCCTGCTGATACTTTTTTTTACAGTTCCACAATGTAAAATCAAGCAGTTTTCCCAAGGCTTTCCATCCCCCACCAGATTAAAGCATAGAAAAATTAAGATAAAATAGAAGATAAGCAGAGCAAATCTGTTAGATATCAAGAGAATGGTTATTCTGGGTCATAAACCCAAACTCACAGCCATTGGGTTGATTTCGACTCACAGTCACCCTATAGGCCAGGGTAGACCGGTCCTCATTCTTTTCCGGAACTGTGACTCTGTACAGGGCTAGAAAGCCCTGCTTTTCTCCTCTAGAGATGCTGCTGTTTTCAAACTGCTGACCTGTGGTTAGCAGTCTAGTTTGTCACCACTATGCTACCAGAACTCTTATTACAGACTGGTGTAAAGATCAGAAGGGGATATGAAAGCAACTTCTGGAAGCTTGAGATATTCTTTCAATTGGTTACAGTCTTGGAAACCCACAGGGACCATTTGGCTCTGTCCCATAGCATCACTATGAGTTGGAATTGATTAAATGGTACAGAGCTATTGTTTACAGGTGTGCTCAATTTGACAACTCAACAACTGTACATTTATGAAGTCTTACTTTTATTTATGTCACCCATCAATAAAAAAATTTAAAAACTTTTGTGCTTTGCACCCATGTTTACATCCTTAAATAAATGCTAAGAATCAAATGTTACTATCATTACAAATTTTTGTTGTTGTTGTTGTTGTATGAGTTGCTCATCATTCTGTAGAGAGCATCGATTTGGACTCCCATCAACAATAAATAAAATCCTACTTCCTTGCATTTGACTCAACACTCGCTACTATCATGTTTCTAAATTTGAGTCGTTTCAAAGTTAAAAAAAAAAAGATGATTTTTTTCCCCTTCAACTTTATTTTGAAGATTTTCAAACTTACCAGAAAGCTGAAAGGATAATAAAATTGGCACCCATAGATTCTTCCTTTGCTTCAACAATATTTAACTTTTTGCCCATTTGCTTTCTCTCCTACTCTTTACACACCAGATGTTTTCAGTGAGGGAGGGGGGAAGAAAAACAAGCATTAAGAGTATTAACAGCTTTTAAATCTTACATGATTCCTCTGACCGTGTGAGAATAATGGGGATATTACCCTCCCTTCCTGTTGACACTATTTATCCCTGAATGGATCAGCGAGCACAAAACTAATTTTAAAGACCCGAAAATGCAGTGACAGTTAGAAAGGATATTTTGACGTTTGAAACGATCCCCATATAAATAGAACGGAGCAGCATAACTTTGGGATAAAATTAGCCGACAGTCTGTGGACTCTCCAGCATGTGCGCCTGTTTGCTCGCTGCTGCTCTCCTGATAAATCGCCACAAAGCTTCCCGAGGGAGAGCAGGGATGGAAGGCACCGGCACCCCGAGAGCTAACTCTGCGGCTGCCAAGTTAGTTAAGAGAAATTTCTTTGAGGCTTTGAAATCAAACGACTTCGGAAAATTGAAGGCTATTTTAATCCAAAGGCTAATTGATGTGGACACAGTATTCGAAGTTGAAGATGAGAATATGATTTTGGCATCTTACAAACAAGGTAAAAATATCTATGTATAGGTGTAATTGTAAAGTTAATAGAAAATGGATTTATTTTCCCCCTTAAAATGCACAGCCTCGGCCACCCACTCAGAACCAGTCGCTTTTACTGTTTCTTTAAGTAGTTATTTGGAAACTCTTTCTTAAGTTGATGCTTTCTTTTTAAAATTGACCGCCTTGAGGGCTGGTATAGGTCTGTCTCTGCTCTTTTGCCTGGAATTTGAAATCCTGGACAATCCTATTAAGGAATACTCTACCCTCACTTTCCCCCGACTGTGGAATAAGGAAAACAGCTCTGAATTATGGCTAAACAGGCTGTGTGGGCACAGTGCTGATGGCTTGGCTGGTTTGAGCACAGGCTGCTAATTCTCTGTTAATAGCCACTTAACAATATTCCATCTCTAGGACCCTCGGGGTGGAAAACAGGACTTCTTCCCTCATTAGGAGGGGGAAATGAATGAGCAAGGCGATACCACAGGTACTTTGATGGTTCTTAACGCTTTTTAAGAACTTTCAGTGCAGGCACGGAAGCGGAAAACCCCAGATCTGAACTTTTTTGTTTCCTTGTGTATTTACTAGATAGGAATTACAGGTGTGTTTACAGCAGAATACCTGCCTTCTAAAGAAAGAAGAGTCAATATTAGAACAGATCTTTTTTTCCCTTTTTAAAAAATCACGGTGTTTTATAGGACCCAGGCTCAACAAATCAGAAGGAAATTAGAAATGTGTTGATTCTGATTTCTCAAATCGGCTAGTTATTAGCAAACTTGAGTAGCGACAGGAATTGTGAGCGGACTACACTCACACTTTCTGCTTCAAATCAATGTGTGTGTTTTTTTCTTAAAAAGAAGGTTTGGAAACTGATTGTGGTTGCAATTGCATGATTCTGCTTGACGTGATTGAACTATGGAATGATATAAAATTTGGATTCACTCCCAAATGATAATACATTTTTTAAAAAGATAAGGTCTTGTGTGCAGCATTAGGGAAACTGTTTTTCACTTTCAAAAATATTTTCTGTAACCATATAAATCATCAGCACCATCAATGTCCTGATACAAATGCTAAAGGTATCTATTTCTACGCTCACTTAATATCCCTTGATTGTCAGTTCTGACAAAGTATAGGAGAGTTGAAGCCAGGTTCTGCATTTATGATTTGTCCTTGCGAGCTTTAGAATAAATTGCATTGCTATTTTTGTCTGAAAGATGAAGGAGGAGTCTACATTTAAAAAGCAGTTGATAGGAACGCTGGGAAGAAGAAAAAGTAGGTAATTATTACTTTCATGCAACTGGCTTTGTTCAACAAAAGAAGTTCTGAAGGCTAAATGAAGTTTTAAGATTGAACGTTTCGGTGTATTTTTACCCAATGTAAATGACTTAGGTGTAAATCAGTGGGTTATTGATTGTCCCCCGGTTGTGAAGACGGTCTCCGTTCATCTGCTGGGCATGTGCAGGTCATGGAAGACTCTCAGATTATGAGCAAGGACGTTTTAGGAGACAAGGTGGAAACAACGGGGTTCTTTTCCTCGCTTCCAATGCCAACTTCACTCTGGATCGGGAAGACAGTGCCTCTGTAATTCCTTTCTCTGAGCGGACTCCCGCGGTCTTCATAGAGCTAAACGCTCATTCACACTCAGGAGTGTTTTCATCGTGTTAAGACCATGGGATGTGGCTGTCAATGAGGGAGTCAGCAAATGACACCCTCTGGGAACGAAAAAGAGCAACTGCTTTAAGAAGCAGGCTGTGTGGATGGGTGCAGAGAAATCGTAGACTTTGAAGTCAGACGATTGGGGTTGACGCAGGAAACCCTTTGTGTGTGTGCGTCCAAGGAAGTACACACACTCGCTGTTTTGCATGAATATGAGTAAGAATCTAGTTCGAGCCTCTTTAGGCTTCAACCACAGATTAAAGAGCTTCATCTTCCTGCAAATAATTTCGTTGTTGTTTACCTGCCATCTAGCCTAATTATCGATCCTTGTAGCATTTCAGTTAGGAATGAAAGTGGTCAATCAAGTCATAGTTTCCAGCCAAGCAAAACTGTCCTAAGTGAAAGTATAACATTTTCAGACATGACAAAGGAATCCTCAGTGACCAACGCAGTGACTGGCTAGTGGGTTCTCTGTTCTTCCTCAGTGAGTCCTAAGGGTAAGCGCTCGCTGCTGTGTAGCCTTGAACATGCATTGTGCGGGACTTTGTGATATCAAAGCAGATCTTCCAGCTGCCGAATGGTATGGAACTGGGATGTCCCATGGAATTTATAAATGCACTTCTGAAGGGCCCTACCCAGAAAAGTGTATACATCTTAAGTGTGTGCTCGGATACTTTTCCCCCGAGTAAGCAAACTTAGCATCCCTATCAGGAAACAGAGCATTATTTGTTGACTTTAAAGTGTGGAGATCTTTAGGTTGGCTTTACTTTGGGGCTTACTAAGGAAGACAATGTGTAAAACCAGTAACGCATAGCTCGGAGACATCGGGCTCCCTTTCAATGTGCTTGTGTCCTCAATAGTACAATTCTATATGCAACATCTGATTGGCCTGATGGAGATCAGCTATAGTGATGAATGATTACAACAAGAAGCTCAATGCCCTTTCAATTTTATTTGAGGGCATACTATTTTTCATAGGACTTCAGGAAGTGACCAAATTTTACCCCTAAATAAGGTATGAGCCATGGGTCACTATGAGTTGAAATGGCCACTAGCCAGTATAAGAGCCCTTTCCATCACTTCTCAGCCTTTTGGTTAAGATCGAGCGAAGAGCACTTTGCAATTTTGGAAAGATCACTTTGGAGCATGTGGGTGAAGAAATCGATGTGCATACAGTCTAAAGATTGTTCATGCAAACTCTAATCTAATTAGTACAAACACCAACCTCATAGACATATATGACAGGTGGATTTTTTGATGAAGGTAGAACTGGGTGCTTAGGTTACAAGGGTGCCAGGGAACTCCTTTGTTTGTTCGTTTTTCCGTTTTCTGCGGCCGTGGGCTCTCCCTCACTGAGGGGCTTCCCTTACCGCCCCGTGACAGCCGATCAGAGGCAGCTTGCGGACCTCAAGATCAAACTGTGGCCCTGCTTCTCGCTAGCACCAAATGGAAGTTTTTAATGTGGCAGAAACCTCTTTTTACTTTTCTGATTTCAGTTCTGACTAATCTCCAGGTAAAATCATGGTTTACTAATTGAAAAACATCTCTTAGAAATGTTCTGTCGTTTGAGATTCCTTCAAGAAGAAGTCAGAAGCGATAGAACTCTGAAAAGCAGCAGCAAGTATGCAAAATTGCCCCTACTGGGAACCCACTTTGGTGTACTGGTGCCAGGACAACACAAACAAACTGTAACTGCTGCCGACTGCAGTAAGAAAAGTGAAGGGTGACATCAAGTGTATGACCAAGCCAAGCACCCAGTCTTTAAAGTGTAAGCTGGATTGTTTCGGGGGTCTCACTGGTGACCCCCATGTGGATGCAGGGATGTTTCCAGAGGTATCGCCGGCGACACATTTCAATTTCCTTCAGACGCATGAGCCCTGCCTCGTTAACAACACAGAGAGCACATCATACTTATCTCTTTGGTACGAAATTCCCTACTCAGCAAGGTTAATCAGAGCCTTTTATTAATCAGCGTAATGGGCTTTAAGTATCCATTTATGGCCCACAGCCGCAGGTTCCTTGGCTGGTAGTCATATTGTTAATTAATCACGGAATGATTTCACTTGAAAACTTTCTGGCTCATACTATCTCCTTTACTGAGTGGCAACAGCGCTCCAGATATCTTAAAAGTTCGTATTTCCACTCTCTTAATGAATACAATCTTTATCACCTAATGTTCCTCGTTGCCAGAATTTTACTCTCCTGTTTTCCTCTCTCTCTTTGGGTCTCACGCCTTACCCACGTTCTTTTGAAAGCTTCTAACTTCATCTCTTTTAAACTTTAGATTTCAGGCTTGCATTCCCCGGCCACACTCCCTTGCCAAGCCTTCTCTGGGGAACTCTCTGAGTGTGAGCTTGAAAATATTAGCTATTAAAAAGTAGCCAAGAATTGGGCTTCAGTCTATAATCCATCAGGACTGTGTAAATAGGTGGATACAGGCAGAGCAAATGTCTACTAATCCCGCAAGCAGCACATGTAACCTGTGGCTGTAAAAACAAGTTGCGGGTAGAGGTCCCCCAACTCAGATAACATTGTAGCTGCTAACTGTCTCAGAGCCAGGACTTCACGCCAGGTTGACCAGAGATCCAGCCTCTGTGCTGTGCATGGAGCAGAATCCTTTCCCCTCGGGAAGGAGGGCCCCAAGCCTCACTTTACCCGCTTTCTTCAGCTTCTGCTACGGGTGGAGGGGCCTTCTACTTAGCCACACAGGCCTGGCTCCTTGTCCCTTTACTCAATTGACAAGGTAAGTACAACCTGATTTCCCTTTACGTACCAATCTGTAGTGAGCAATTTCACCTTTATTTATTTATTTTACCCTAAGATGCTCCTTCTAAGGGTGACTGGCATCTATTTCTGTTCCTTCTCCTTCCTTCAGAAGCAAAGCTTCTTTTTAAAATTTAAATCTCTGCCAGAGTTCTCAGAAAGCGAGGTAAGTACGGACTTCCTCCCAAATCAAACGCAATGTTTTTCTGTCGACTCATCGCGATGCACCCCCCCCCCCCCCCCCCCCCGCAGACGAGTGTGAACTAGCGAACCTACAGTGAATTGCTTCACCACGTTTACGAGGGATTAATAAGTAAGCACAAGTGAACTCGTGTTTGTCTTGTTGATTGGGCAATCTGCCCCTGGGTGAGTCATTCAGTGCACAGTTTGCTGCCACCTAGTGACCTTAGGAAGAAAGATCAGGGAACTGGAACGCACCGGGCAGGGCTTGCGTTAGGTGGTCCAGGGTGGGACGTTGGCGAAGGAGAAAGAAGCGGTGTTGGCCGCCCTCACTGCTCAAACAGAGCAATGGCTCCAACAGCCGGGAGCCGGGAGCTGCCCCACCGACTGCACGCCAAACCCGCCAGT